TACGTCAGCTATGAACTTGTTTATAAACCATTAGAGCACTTTACTCATTACAAGCAACGTTGCCAATAGCCCAATGACAATCCTGATAAAGGCGACATAGTATGAGTAATGACCATAAGATAATTCATAGCTACGAGATGTATAAAACAACATGAATATTGTGAACACTATATTTTATTTAGCTATATTTTATATTTAATAATAAATTCAATTAAAAAATATAAAAATATAAAAATAAAATTTAATCCTTTTTAGGATTATATTTTTAAAATAAAAATCTTTAATTAATAGTGTTTAATTTTATTTTAGTGTAGATAATTTTTTGTTGGTGAGAATTTTATTTCTTTTAGTTCATTAAAACAATCAAAAAAATATAAAAATATAAAAATAAAATTTAATAATTTTTAGGATTTTATTTTTAAAAATAATAATCTAACAAAATTTTTTTAAAAAATCTTGCTTAAATTTTTAAAAAATCTCTCATTATCTCACCAATTTAAAGACAATAGGAATCAAATTGTTGAGAGTTAAATTTTTTTTTAAAAAAAAGAGAGGATATTCTTGACCCATTTAAAATCAAATTTTCCTTCCTAGTTAATTTCTAAAAATTGCCCTTAAAAAATTGTTTCTTAAAACAAAATATATATATATATATATATACATATATAGGGTGGGTGAAACAGAGTCAGCTTCTCTCCTTTGAGAGAAGCAGAAAATCTGGACCGTCCAAATTTAATCTGGACAGTCTAGATTTAATAATTTTATTTTTATTTATATTTTTAAATTAAAAAATGTATAAAAATTTTAAAATTTTTTAATAAATATACTAATTAATTTGAAAGTTTATATTTAATATAGATGCTTTAAATTTAATATGAAAAATTTAAATTGACTTTTCAGATATTTTTTGGACAGTGTAAATATATTATGAACAGAACAGTAAATTTATTAAAATAATTTAAGATTAATTTTAGATCATTTATATTAAAGTTAGACTTTTAAATTAATAAATATATTTATTAAATTTTTTTAAAATTTTTATACATTTTTTAATTAAAAAATATAAATAAAAAATAAAAATAAAAATATTAAATCTGAACTGTTTAAATTAAATTTGAATGGTTTAAATTTTTCTTCTCAAAGGAGAGGCAGAGGAGGTTCCTCTCAAATAAGAGAAGCCGACTCCGAGTGAAGCACTGTAGAATCAGCATTTCACTCAGCCCTTGTCTCTTGTTCCCGTGTGAGCAAAGGACGGAAGGGAGCGGAAGAAAGCCAAAAAAGCAAAAAGAAAATAATAATAATAATAATAACAACAACAGGGAAAAGCCTTCTGGAGACAAAAACACGGGTTCGGTTTCGGTACTCAGCAGCCGTTGAGTACCGTAGTGCTCATCAGGCCGAAACGCACCATTTCATTAACCATGGAGAATCTCTGTGTTGAATTAACATCGAACGCGTTCAGTCTCTCCTTTCATTCGGCGATATAAAATTGAAAGTTGGAGGGAGAGAGCATGTGTTTTGGTGCCATTCTACTCACTCTCTTTCAAGCTTCAAGTTCGACCATTCAATTCCAACAACATCATTCAGTCAGAAGGGGTTCTTGTAAGCTAAAGAACTCCATTAATTCATTTTAATTTCTTCTTCTTCATGTTTGTTTTTTGGTTGCTGTCTTATTAAAACTGAAAGCAAATATGAATGATGAAGACAATAAGCAATAGACCCACATTCAGCTTGTAGAAACAGACTTCAAAGGATGACCGAATGTTGTCTAATTTCTGAAACATACATATATATATACATATATGTGTATGTGTAAGTCGACAAGGGCTACGTTAAATGGAATACTGAATTTGCAATAAATTAAAAATTGTGGACTAGGGAATGAATTTTGTCTGCTACGATGCCTATGAATGTTGTATCTGAAACAGCTTAATTTGCGTCGAAAATATGAGTTATCTTCATTAAGCTTGCTTTACACATAATCTTGTCCTTTTCCAATTTGATACAGTTCTTTCCAATGCATGGGAAACAATATAACGAGGGAGAATTTGGCCATTAATTAAGCATATTAAACAAGAATAAGTTTGACAGTAAACCAAGCTTAACATCTTCCATTTCCTTGATTTGGCTGTCAATTGTCATCTAATCTTTCTCATTGTTTAGTAAAATAAACCTATGACTTGTTATAAAAAATTTGGCTTGATCAGCCTTTTTTTTTTGGTATTAGGTGAATGAAATTCTACCTTGTATATATATATATTTATTGAAAAGAATATGAAGAAAGAAGTTTGTGCATATGTATATGGATGAAATATATATATATATATATATATGGTGTGCGTGGCTATTTGAAGAACTAATATATAATGTTTGAAGAGTGTAAATTATCTTTACCATAACCTTGTATGTTTTGGAAAATTTTATTTTTGATAAAAATGTATAATATAATTTTTTTTTCACAGGAACCATGCAAGAGGAAGATGAATTGGAACCCAAAATAGGGAGGGAGTTTGAAAATTTGGATGAGGCATGGGAGTTTTGGACAGAATATGGTAAAAGAATTGGATTTGGAGTTAGAAAGGGTACTTCTACAAAGAGTAGAGCAGACAAATCCATTATTATTACATATAGATTTTTATGTTGCAAGGAAGGTCTGCGAAGGAAAAATGAAAAAAAGGCATATGCTTCTACACATTGACCAGAGACAAGGACTAATTGTAAGGCAAGAATGGTAGTATCTCGTGTTGGCCAAAAGTTCAGAATCACTGTGATTGATAGAGAACATAATCACCCACTTCACACAAAAGACATAGTAAGCTTGTTACCATGTCAGAGAAATATATCAGAAGCTCAAGCCTATGAAATGGATCTTGCAGAAGAATCTGGACTTGAACCTAGGGATACTTTTGACTTAATGAGTACATATGCCGGTGGTCCAGAAAATCTTGGTTATACAATGACAGATGCAAAGACTTACTTGATGTGCAAAAGGAAGAGACATATGAAGTTTGGTGAGGTGAGGTGTCTACTTGAATACTTTCAGAAACAAATTGAAGAAAATCCAGCATTCTACCACAAATATCAATTGGACCCTGATCAACACATCACTAATGTTTTTTGGGCCGATGCTCGTATGCTAATAGATTATGCACATTTTAGTGAGGTTGTATCACTTGATACAACATATAGCACAAATCAGAATCATAGACCCCTTGCACTATTTTCTGGCTTCAATCATCATAGAAGTGTGGTCATTTTTGGAGCAGCACTATTATATGATGAGACAATTGAGTCTTTCAAATGGTTGTTAGAAACATTTTTGGATGCTCATATACAAAAAAAGCCTCAAACTGTGTTTACAGACCAAGATCAAGCGATGGCAAGAGCATTGTGCGAAGTTCTTCCCAATACAAAACATTGTTTGTGTAGTTGGCATTTATTAAAAAATGGTGTTAAACACCTTGGGAACCTCATGAAAGATGGGTCACATTTTTTAACCGATTTCAAGAAATGCATGTTTAATTATGTTGATGTAGAGAAGTTTGAAGAAGCATGGAGCCAATTATTATCTTCTTATAATGTTCATGAAAATGGATGGTTGAAGTCTACTTATGATATTAAGGAGAAATGGGCTTGGTGCTATGTGAAGGAAACATGCACACTAGGCATGAGGAGCACACAGATTAGTGAAAGTGTGAATGCTGATGTGAAGAGATGTACAAAGCCAAAATTGGACATCAAGCGATTTTTTAAAAGGTTTGACAAGGTTGTGGCAAAGAAGCGATACAAGGAAGTGGAACTTGAGTACGAATCTCGACAAAAGATTCCAAGGATGGTTAATCAAAGTGCGCCTATTCTACGCCAGCTTGTGCAAGTTTATACCCCTACTGTTTTTGACATGTTTCAAGAGCAATGGGATCTCCAATTCTTTGTAGAATTAATTGCACGTGATGAGAAAGAGTCATTATTTGTATATATTGCCCATATGATTGATCAGGAAGGGGAATGGAGAGTTAAGTTCAAACCTGATACCCATGAAATTTTTTGTACTTGTCAAAAGTTTGAGTCCACGGGAATATTTTGTTGTCATGCATTAAAAGTGTATGAGTCAAAGGATGTAAGAGTTATGCCTGACCAGTATATTCTAAAGCGTTGGACTAAGGAAGCAAGGTTTGGTGTTGTCCATGATGTTAGAGGAAATGAGATTCAAGTAGATCCTAGACTTGACATCACGCAGAGGTATAGACAATTAATGCTTATGATGGGAAGATTAGCATCCAAGGCTGCTAAGACACTTGAGGGATTTACTTGTGTTCAGAGATGTGTCATTGAGTTAGAAAATCATATTCCTAATGGTAATGAAAATGATACTTCTGAACCAGTCATAGAGTCACAAAATATGCCAAAGGGGTTCAAAAAAAGAGATGGAAAATCAAGCAAGAGATGTTGGAAAGGTTGGGAAGAGAAGAATTTAAAAACAAGAAGAAGAGTTGTATCAAAGGTAGTAAATTTTAATTTATATATAAGACAAAAACAAATTATTACTTATTTTGTATTTGAATTTTTTTTAAGACTCTCAAGAAGCTTCACCATATAAGAAGACATCAAAGGAAAAAGAAAAGGCCTCATCATCAAAAAGAAGAAGAAAGGATGATCAAATGAAAGATTTACAAGCTTCAGCAATTTCTTACTTGGAAGCTCCAACACAACCAGTACAAATACAAGATTCAACATTTTCATATGCAATCCCTCCAGTACAACATATTTTTTCACCCCCTACATCACAATCATTGTCATTTACAAGCTTATTGGTGGTATGAAGCAATAAATTGGTCACTACTAAATGGTATATATTGTTATCCTATTTTGATGTCACGGTTGTTAACATTTACAAATGCAGGCACAAAGTAATGAAATTCCATCACTTGAAGCCATAGATCTTATGGAAAACCACTCACAAGGTAATGAATAGAAAAAGAGATACACAATTTGCACAAAAACATAATTTTATTAATTTTCATAATGTCATATACAATTTAAAACATTTGTCTCTTTTGGCCTATATACAATTAACAACGTTTACATACTCAAAATTGCAAAAAAAATGATACTTTTACATCATTTAATACAATCCCTGTCACCTAACAATTCCACAAACCAGCACTATAGTCTTTCTTCAAATCAGCATACTACATATTGCAAGTTTGGAGTCTTCAAGCGTTAACATATTCTCTGTTTTTTGTTTTTTTTCCCGCAGCACCTTGATTCTGCAATATAGTGCAATTCTGGAAACAATTGTGCATATTTTTTGTGGGATGGTCCTTGCTTTGCTTCATTACAGATTTCTTTCCAACTCTGTCAGCAACATCTATCCTGTAACCAGTATAGAGCAAATCAATTTCCATCCTTATCCATTTATAGCTTTACATTATCTTCTCTATTTTGGAAATGTACATCACACTACTCTTACTACATATATTTTGGGAATGTAGATCTAATTTTTGATGCCAAACACAATTTCTCACTTCCTCATGATTTTTGATGCCAAACATCTATCTTGAAGCTTTAAGAAGTGGGTGTGCAAGTTGGCTCAAATGGTAAGAAGATTCAAAATTGGTGCCCATAACAGTAGATACATCATCTGCAGTTTGATCTGTGCCTTTGTTATATATGATTGTTCCTACGTTGTTTATCTAACAGAAAACAACTTTTGAAGTCCATTGATCACCAATTTAGGAAAGAAATATCATCACATCTAAAGGCTCACAAATTGAACAAAATGAAATAACTAGATATATTCTTTTTCCTCTGAAGATGCATTGACAGAACCCAATGGCTCAAATATAACAGATATGGTGAGCCTTGAAACTCTTCATTCAAACCTAAATTATTTTTACACCCAGTGAGCAAAAAGAAGAAACTAAGGTCATATCATAGTGCATAATATTTCTACACCCAGTGAGCAAATCATCAAAGATGATTAGGTCAATATCATCCCAAGATGTGCTTGACAGTCAATTAAAATGCAAAGAATCGTTCAATTTTGAAAAGAGAAATACTGGCAAGATTTTTTTTATTGTACTATAATCTCTTTTCCTCTGCGTTGATTTGCAGAGAACATCATCTTACACAATGTGTGTTTGCAAGTCAATATTGAAATGTTCTTTCGCCCTCCAGTGCTTTTCCCTCTCTATTCATTCTAGCTTGAAAACATTGCCAGCTTCTATGGCAATAACTAGATTTCCTTTAAAGGATAACTAAGAAGATCCAAATCCAGATTGAATGATGGGTCAGTCCTAACATGCATCTATAAAGATACTGCACAAGCGTAATGTAACCTCTAATTTCCTTCCCACCGATAGTGCGGACCATTGAACATCTAAACGCAAGATAGAACTACACATTTCTTTACTGTATATTGAATTATGTGTTTAAAGGTAGGATACTAGTAGTTGCTCTGATCGTAAGTTTATTTCGAAGCCAAATTCCAAACGCGAATACAGCCATCTTCTCCAGAACTGACCACACTATCATTATCAATACAAGCTAACCCGAGAGAAGCTTACAAGGATGTTGAGCTTTCCATGAAAAATGGAGGCAACAATTTGCATTAAATTTTGACACTGGTGACTTTAGATCACATCGCAGACTGATCTAGTGACACAAAATCCTTTGCTCCTCCACTCTTTCAAACACTTGTCGATGTCTAATTGGTTACGGGAACATATATGCACAGTTGCTCCAAATTCTGCTAGTTCTTCTACAATGGCATGCCTGATTCCAAATAAAAAAATGAATCAGCGGCAACAGTGATGGAGTTTGAATGAAACGATATTGTATTGAGACAGTTTAAACTAAATCATATAGTGTTTTTGTAAAGAAACAAGCTGCTGAGCATTAATACATATAAGGGTAAAGTTTGTTATTATTCCAGCAACAAAATTAACATAATACTTACATCACACCTGTTGGTTTGAGCCAGCAGTCACGAGCACATATTACTGAATCAAACATAGATTCACGCAGAAGAAAATATCCCATCCACTCAGAGATTATCACGTCAACTGCAAGTTGCATGACATTGAAAATTAGAAATGAGACAATTAAAATGTGTCAATGATAAATACCACCAAAAAATTAAATTCTAAACTTGGAAAATAGATTAAGCAAGTTGTGCTTACCTTTCTCCGGTAAAGTTATATCTTCCATTGAGCCCTCAATTACTTCAACCAAATGTTGAAGATTATTTGCTTTGATAAGAGTACGAGCATGTTCTGCCATCTTAGTTGCTTCCATTGCGTATACTTTCCTTGCTCCAGCCTGTGCTGACCATATCGCAAGAATGCCGCTTCCAGTTCCCACATCCAAAACAGTCTTCTCAACATTCAAATCGCTTAAGTCAGCCCAAAATCTCTCCCAGATAACGTTATAAAGAACAAGCTTAATCAATGTCACGTGCTTCAGACAGAACTGACAACCCAATCAATGGCACAATAAAAAGGATAAAACTACAAATCATCAATTCGCACCCCATGGTTGAAAATTCAACACAGAGCCAAGAAAATGAGAAAAATTGACAGGACAGCACTGCAAGAGAAATTAAGAACCATACTTGGCGATGATCTGGAAAGGAAATAACTCATCGAAGTGTCGCAGAAATTAAGAGCCATGCTTGGCGATGATCTGTAAGAGAAAAATCAACAGGAAACACTGCAAAAAAAATCAGCAGGAAACGGCTAAGGCTGTGTCGCTGAGAGAGAGCTCATCGAGATAAAGGAAATAACTCTCCAGAAAGGCTACCCTTGGTGATGATCTGATGGAGAAGGTCCAAATGGAGATACAGAACCCAATGATTGTGACGGCACCGGCGAGAGGAGACGCCGATAAAGCTCTGGTTTGAGAGTCTTAAACCTGACAGCCAGCAAACGGTAAAGTCGACCAAAGGAATTGTTAAAAGCCTTATTAACATGAAAAATGAATGAACGGTTGAGATAAAAACGTAATGAACGGCAGAGATTCTCCATGGTTAATGAAACGGTGCGTTTCGGCCTGATGAGCACCACGGTGCTCAGCGGCTGCTGAGTACCGAAACCGAACGCCAAAAACACAGGGCAGAGAGAGAGAGAGAGAGGGCAGACGATTGCGCACACGAAGAAGCAAAAAGGCAGAGCAGAAACACAGCCACGCAAAGAACGTAGGCAGGAAGAAGAAAAGCGAGAGACGAAGGAGAAGAGCAGACACAGAACACACGCACCCGCAGCCCAAAAACACTTTCGGCCAGAGAAAGCAGAAAGCAGATGCAGCAGAATAGAAACACAGCACAGATGATAAACATAAAGAAAAAACAGAAGCATCAAGGAGAGCAAACTTTCAGCTAGACCAGACGAAAGAGCAAAAGAAAGGCAGAACAAAAGCTTCACAAAGTAGAAACGCCAGTCACACACGCGAACACGTTCGGCCACATGCAAAAAAAAAGTGAGAAGAGCAGAAATACGGCCACGCAGAGAACGCATGCACGAAGAGAAGATGCGGAGGACAGCAAACAGCAGAGTGAAGAAGAAACCAGATGCAGAGAGAACAGACTTGGACCAAACGCAGAAGCAAAAAGTAGAGGAGGACGGACGAAAAACAAAGAGAAAGCAGAAAGAGGAGAGCAGACACGAGCAGGAAGGAACCTAGAGACGAAAACACGCAAAACATCTCTGAACGTAACAAGAGGAGTGAAGCACGCAAAGAGCCTTCCATCTCACACACAAGCTCTAATAAATTCTTCCTTGCTTCTGCTTTCAAGAGGGGACAGCGAAGTGGGAGAGACGACGAAACAAGAGAGGATTTTCTGGAGGAGAGAGATCCGGAAGGGGAGGAACGAGCAAGAGAGAGAAGGAGAAGAAGTTGGAGAAAGAAGAGAGACCGAGGGTGAGAGAGCAACGGTAGAGGGAAAGAGAGAGATCTTGCATTTTGTTGCTCTCTCACGGCAAGATCTGGAGAAAGAGAGGGAGAGAGATTCAAATGGTTTGGGATCCTCGCCGTCATGCTCCTGCTCATCTGGCTGCTGCATTTTCATGAGGGGATGGAGTATGATTCTCTCAATAGATACCGAGTCTTCAACGTCCACCTTCTACTGTTGTTCATGGGTTATATCTTCATATCGGGTCAAGCAATGATGGCGCACCATATGATACCGAGCGAGAGGTCAACCTAGAAGTTCATGCACCCGTTGCTTCACTTGATTGCTTTTGTGCTGGGAATCGTTGGTTTCTGTAATTGCATTGTGAGTATTTTGCAGCTGAGATCCATTGTGATGGCTGCAACTGTTTAAATTGTCGCAATAATATGGATAATGAGGCTGCCAAACGAGAGGTAATTAGAATCATTTTAGAGCGCAATTCAAATGCTCGTCCACAAGAATCACAGGGTTTCAAGGTCGGTAATCCAATTCCCTCAAGTTTTTATAGTATTACTTGACTAGGCTCTTTATATTCACTTTAATTGAATCAAATGGGGCTTGCAGTATTTATATCGTAATTTTTGTTTTTGAAAGGCCCATTATCAAGTAGAAGCTAACTTATATATAATTTAATTCCAGGATGAGATTTTGATTTGGTGTTTATCGTTTGTGAAAAAAAAAAATTAGTATTATTGGAGAGTTATGCAATGGCTACATACATGGTTTATATGATTGTTGTTTTAAAGGAAGAACGTTGCTGCTTCATTTATTTATTTTTTTTCCTTTTGGATATCTTTAAAACATCAAGCCAAATATCTAAGATTATGGTCAAGTTTAAAAAAAAGAAAGAAAAAAAGAAATGGTCCACTCCTAATTTGTTGCTCTTATGTTCGAATGAATTATCTTTGAATATGTGCATCCCTTTGTGGCTGTATGGTAAACATAACTATCATTTTTAAATTTTGCCATGTGAGATTTTAAGAATTTTCATTGGTATTGAGAATGATCTCGTATCGTGTAAATTAATAAAATTTTACAGGTATGAAGATCCAACTTGTATATTAAAGATGGGTTCTAATGGCTCACCATTAAAATTAACTTTTTTTTTATAATTTAAATCAATAAAATATTTAAGTCTCATGTAAGATTTCAAGAATTTTCGTAGAGAATTAAATTAAGTACATTATTGTGTGGGATAATAAATCCTCACAGATATCATGATTCTCAATTTATATGAATTTTGTAAATAAAATAATAAATATTTTTTATAATATTAATTAATTAAATTAATAAATTTAAATTATAATCACATTTTGTAATTAGATCATTTAGTCATGTGAAATTTTTGAATCTTTGTAGACTTCTAAAATAATCATATTATCGTATGAGTCAATAAGACTCTGCAGATATGACGATTAAGTTTTTTTAAAAAATATATAAATTATATATTAAATCTATTAAATTAAAAATGTACTTAAATATATATTATTTAATCCTTTATTGTGTGAGAATTTTTATCTCCGTAAATATTTAGAACAATCGTATTACAATATAAGTCAATAAGGCTTTGCATGAATGATGATTAAGAGTCTTTAAAAATGTAAATATGTATATACACAATTAAAATATATTAAATTATATTAAATTAAAAATATACTTAAATGTATATTATTTAATTTTTTATCGTGTGAGATTTTAAAATCTTCGCGGATATTTCGGATAATCATATTACTGTATAAGCCAATAAGACTTTGCAAGTATGACAATTAAAATTTTTTAAAAACATATACATACATGCTCAAAAAATTGTTATTAATACTTTAAAATATACATAAAAATATAAATAAATAAATTAATTAAGTTGTTAAATTTTTTTATTGTGTAAGATTTCAAAATCTCCCTAAATATTTAGAACAATTACATTATCATATAAATTAATAAAGTTTTATAGGTATAGCGATTAAATTTCTAATTATAAAATATAAAATAATAATTTTAAACTCTTTTCTTATCTTATTTTAGAATTTTAAAATTAAAAAAATAATTAAAATTAAATTACTTTTTTGTAATATAAAATACACATATCAAATTTCAAAAAATTATTTTATTTACAAAATGATAAATTATTTTTAATTAATTTCTATTCAAAAAAATATTTTCACCAATAAACTTTTTAAGCCGAACTACGTGAACTTTGACCCTCATCGCAGGATACGTAAGCCTCAGACTTTAATTCTGAATCAAGTACTCCCTTGTTAATAAATAACTATCTCACTTAATTCTTATCATTTTTATATCAAACATATGAATACAAAAAGGATAATTAAAATAACTTTAAAACTGTATTAATATAGCACAACAATCTTCAGGTAACCGTTCTGACAAATGTGTTGTGAGATGCCTAACACCTTTCCTACACTTAATCGACTCCTGAACCTATTTCTAATTTTGCGGACCATTCTTGTTCTTTTTTAAATAATTTTCTAAAATTTTTCTCAAAATTTTGATGGCAACTCCCGTTTTGTCAGTTTTCGCTCCGAAGGTCAAAACTTCTGCTCTCTCGCGCCGTCCGCATCGCATTTTCTGGTGCGACAAAGGTATTTGTATAAAAATGCATGCAGTACACTTGAAGGTTTTTTCTTTTTCCTTTCTTTTTTTTCTTTTTGATGAAAAGACGAAACCCAGGCCAGAATTAGCCTATGCCTTTTTTTTTTTCAGGCTAACTTGAATTAAGTAACCCACCAAATCTGTGCAAATTTGATCCAAATTTTGCCTAAATAGCATCATGAAAGTTAAAACATACATAAGAAAGCAAAGGAATGATTGCTCATAAATGTGCTCCACGACTTCATATTAATCTTGATCAAGCCAAACCCACGCCTTTCAAGCTTAAATCTTGTACCTGTCCATCATTATATGAATATCTTAATATTTTTCCGACACTCAAATGACAAGGAGATGCTTGAGTTTCATCTATTGCAGAGTTTGAGATCAAGTTTTAAGCAGCATCTGATCATGCTGGTGAACCAAACAATAATTTTTTTTTTTATCAGCAGAAGTCTATGTGTGTTGGATCTTAGGAGCTCACCAAAGTCAAAACATATCTAAAAGTTCAAAGAACGTTTTCAAAGGTACTCACAGATAGCCCATTAACAAAATCCTCACATTAACAGTAAAATTTGATTTCACCACATTGTGAGTTATTGACCAAATCTTTACCAATTGAATCAATCTTTGTTAGTACCAAACAATATTATTTCTGGGAAGGAATGGGATTAAAGATTGTATGTTGGGAGACGGACTAGCAAACTTATCAGAAGTGAAAATACAGAGGAGAGATCTAGCACAAATCCAGATACATCCCATACTTTCTTTATATATTTTACTTCCGCTGGACCACAATATATGTCATTAGTAACAAATTAACATTTTATGAAAAATATTAGTTAAAATCTTATTTTCCTATGTTCTTTAAATATGAAGCATTTAAAGACACGAAATTTAAAAAAAAAGGGTATAAATGGTAAAAAAAAAATATAAAATTTATCCAATGTCTTATATTTTGACAACTAGTAAAATACAAAATTCAACTAAAAAAGGTGTATCTTAATAAATTCAGCCACGGGCTTCTCAAAATGAATTCAGGAAGAAAAGCTAGAAAAATGTCAGCTAGCAAATGTTGACTTTCCAAGGCATAATAAAGCAGGGAATGGTGAACATGAAATAATTTTAGACATAAATCAAATAACAAGGTTGAACGTTTTGAACCAATTATAATTCATACAAAAAAAATTAAAAAAATAAAAAAGAATCAGGAGAGAGGAAATTGTAAATCAATACCAAGAAAAATGCATCTGCAGGGCACAATGTCCCTGCTCAAAGACAAATGAAAATTTCTAGACTTCATTTAGCATCAACCAATAAGCTCTGAATACATTCCACAAACATAACAATGAACTCTGGCCAAGTTAGTAAGCAGAGGCATAGGAAGTGATACCTCGGTCATTTTAAGCTGTCTGCCAAAATTATGCTGGTTGTGCCCCCAACGTTCAAAATAAGCTACAGTTCTTTGGCCCCTTGCTGCAGCTCACCCAGGATGCATTGCACATCACGTTCCAAGCCAAGCAGTTCACTTGCCTTGTAATTTGTCACCCCTAATTTCGTACTATGAGACAAGCATATGGAGCACATTTGACCCATAATCCGCAAAGACCCTTTGGGCAATGATAATAAGTGAATCAATTTCAAAGCTTCCTTTGAATTCAATCCTCTTTCCCTAACTGCAATCCGTGCATCCCTAAAGGGAGATAAACACTTGTCCCTGGCAAACCCGATACACTTCTCCTTCGCAGCGGCAAAGCAGCTCTCCATTTCACGCTCTTCACATCGCTCTCGCTCCTTTAAATCAGTAGGTTTGACACCTGTCAAGGACTTCCACCATGGAGGCTTGCACTTGCTAGAAGCGCTGATAGCACACCCAATCCTGGCCCCCTCTTGACATTGCAGTATGATTTTGTGCTCGCAGGCTCTGTATGAGGAAATCCAAGCTTGTGAGTCTCTGAATGCAAGTACAAAAGGACCGGCTGATGGGTCATCAGTGGAACCGGCCGGTAATGGTCCGCGTAACAAGGGGATCGGCCTTTCAAAGTTTACTACAGTTGACGAACGAGAGTAGTCATCTAGATTATCGATTGCAGGTGCATCAATTCCAAGCATCTGGGATTTTAAGGGTTTGGATAAAATGATATGATGTCAATCAAGAAAATTAAATGACAGCAGGCTCTCAAATAAGATTGTGCCAAAAAGAAACTTTGAAATTCAAAGTTTGGCAATGAGCAGATCTCTTCGTGCTCAGTCGTGCTAAGTGCTGTTATGCAGTGGCCGCTGCCTAGCCACCGTGGTGTTTCTAAATTAGGGCGTGGGAACTAGGGATGGAAACGAGCCAGGCTAGGCCAGGCTTTAATCTGGTAGGCCTAAGCTTGCAAGGTAGATCTCAAGCCTCAGCATGTGGTCTATTTAAGGCTGTTATTTAGACTCAAGCCTGAACCTGCAAAGTCCTATCATAGTCTGAAAGCCTAATTAAAAGCTCAGATATAATGAAAAAAATGTAAGGAGGGCACTTCAAGTAAATAAGTGATGCTCCAATCACAAATTAGGGCTTGAATCACCAGTAACATTAAGCATTTGGATAAAGAAAATTCCAGTCACCATGAATGACCTCTCTCAAGCTATAAAAATCTATAAGTTCAGTCCATATTCTTTATAATTAATCAAGTTCAACAAAGAAAGGAACGAAGGCTTGGTTCAGATTGATAAAATCCATGTGGAGATAGTAATAAATTCACCTCCTCTGCTGCACATCCAAAAGCCTGTGAAAGTTTAATAGAAAACTTTTTCGTATCACTAGAAATATATACACCATGAATATCGCAAAACAACTAGGATAATCATAAACACAGAACTTCTACATTCTAATATATAAGACCAGGGAATCAACTCAGAGAACTCGACAACTAATTCTCCAAAGTGAAAATTATAACACCATGTTTACCTAAAGAACAAAATTAATAACGCCCACAAAGACAAACCTCTCATAGACTAGGCAATCAACTCAGTGAACTCAGCAACTAATTCTCCAAAATGAAAGTTATGACACCATGTTCACCTAAAGAACAAAAGTAATAACGCCCACAAAGACAAACCTCTCATAGACAAAATGAAACACAACTGACAATGGTAAGATGTTTAAATACCAGCAAAAATTCAGGATTTTAGAAGCGCCGCTGGGCACCATGAGTAAAATGTAATGACCCTGTCTGAATTTTTTTTATATTCAAAACTAGATCTAGTCCTCATCTATTATCTAAAGCCATGACTGAGACGTCCCGGAAACTCCTCAAGCACACTTGCGAAATACTACCAGTAGCAGGTTCATAATAGAGTAGAAATGGAGGCTGAGAAGGACCAACCTGAGCATGAGCAGGACGACTGGACGAGCACGACCAATCGACGGTGAGCACTCGCGGAAAGTCTGAAGAAGAGCTAAGCTACAAGCCGACGACTGAGAGCAGGGCAAGACTTCACGAGCTGAGTTCGGGCGCCGCGGAGAAGATGAAGGAGAAGGTCTGAGCTCGACTGATCGGTGACCGAGTAGAGCACGACTTCATGGGCACAGCACCGAGGGTGGACTGATCGGAGATTGAAGGAGAAGGGCTGAGGTACGTGAGAGTGAGACTAGGCGAAGCCTGGATGGATTGGGTGGAATGAGGGTCGGGATGAAATTAAAATCCTGGGGATAAAATGGTAATTGCAAAATAAAAATTAAATATATAAAAATATAAATATATTACAAAGTTAAAGTGCAAAAATGTCTGAAAATTTTTTTTATGGATGCTTGACATTTTAAATTTTTTTTAAAATATTTTTACTCTATCATTAAAAATTACAAACATTGATCGTTAAATTGAAGTTTGATTAAGGATATTTTTATATTTTTTTTTCAATTCTTTTGTGTTTAGTCTCTGATTTTATTTTCTAGTAAATTTTTTTATTTTTTTTTTCTTGCAACAAATAAAAATAAAGATTGAAAAATGCAAAAATAAAAGAGGGCAAAATTATAAAATATTTGATCAAACTTTAATTAATGATTAATGTTCCTTATATTTAACCGTGGAACAAAAATACTATGTTTTTTAACTTTCAAAGTAAAAATATTTTTAAAAAATTTAAAATACTAGATGTCCCTAAAAAAAATTCAAGACATTTTTGCTATTATATTGGTTTTGCCAAATCATGCCCAATCTGTTTGGATAAAAATTTAAAGAATCTCAATGAGGCCCTCAAGATTAAATTACTAGTATGCATGGCTAAAAACATTATGAAACTATTTTGCAGGCTCAAGGACCATGATAGCTATTAATTTTTTCTATCCTATTACAAAAATATCCTTGACTTTTATTTAAAAAAAAAGGCCCACCATCGACGTCTAACAAACCACCGCTGCACCAGAGGCAGGAGCTGTGTCACTGGCCATCAAACCTCTAATGATAGCAAGTGATCAACAGTGGGTCAAATGAAAAAAAGGAGCCACAGGGTAATTTGATTCATTGATCCCTAGGGTGTTAAAAAGAAATGTCATTGAACCACTGAATACTTTTAATTATATATAACAAAATATAATATATTATAGTTTGTTTTCACACATTTATATAATTTATTGTTCATCATAAAAAATTGTCAAATTTTTAAACCTAACTTTTTTCAATTTTTTTGACAATTTATTTTTTCAATATTGACATTTTATTAATATTATATTATATAAAAATATATATTATATAAATTTATTTTTCAAGTATTTTCATCAATTTTGGCTATTTATAAATGTATTGTTGTTTATATCCGAATAATCACTTTATATATACGAACATAACTTATTCATACATAAAAAAATTAGGCTAAAAATGTTAATATGTATAAGTTATTGTTTGAATATGTACAAGTAATCATTCAGATATGGATAATAAAGTGTCTATGATTAATCAAAGCTAATGAAAATACTTGAAAAATAAATGTACAATGTAAATATATTTTATTTAGCATAAAATTGATAAAATATCAATTTTGAAACAAAAAGTTGTTAACAAATTAAAAAAAGTTAGGTTTAAAAAATTAACAACTTTTTTGACATATGAATAAGTCATGTTCGTATATGTACAAGTAATTGTTTGAATATGATAAAGAATGCCTACATACGTAACCAAAGTTGATGAAAATACTTGAAAAATAATTTTAAATTATATATATATTTATTTGGTTTAACATTGATAAAATGTTAATTTTGAAACAACAAGTTATTAAAAAATTTGAAAAAATTAGTTTAAAAAATTAGCACTTTGTTTAATGTATGAACAAGTCATGTTCGTATATATATATAAGTAATTGTTTGAATACATACAATAATGGGTCCATGAATAACCAAAATTGATGAAAATACTTGAAAAATAAATTTATAACATATACTCCTTCCGTTCAAAAATATAAAGTATTTTTTAAAAAGTTAGATGTTTAAAAATGTAAGGCATTTTTAGTCTTTTAAAGTATAGTTATTGCCTTTTTTTAAAGTACCCCTATTAATAATGATTTTATATTTATTATAAAGTGTTTAATAGGGGTAAATATAAAAAGATAGGGTTAGTTTGAAAGTAGATAACTACTTTATTAGGGGTGAGAGTCAGTTAAAAATGTCTTATATTTTTGAATAGAGTGAGTATATTTTTTATTTAGTATAATATTGATAAAATGTCAATTTTAAAACAAGAAGTTCTTAAAAAATTTGAAAAAAAGTTAGGTTTAAAAAAGTGGCTCTTTTTTCATCTATGAATAAGTTATATTTGCATTTGTACAAGTGATTATTCTGATATGCATAAGAATGCTTCTATGAATAACAAAAGTCAATGTACATACTTGAAAAATAAAATTATAATAGATATATTTTTTTATTTAGTATAATATTGATAAAATGTCAATTTTGTAACATCAAGTTGTTAAAAATTTTGAAAAAAAGTAGGTTTAAAAAATTAGTGTTTTTTTAATGTATGGACAAGACATATTTGCATATGTATAAGTAATTATTTTGATACGCACAACAATGCATCCTTGAATAAACAAAACTGATGCAAATACTTAAAAAATAAATTTATAGTATATATATATATTTTTATTTAGTATAACATTGATAAAATGTCAATATTGAACAACAAGGTGTTAAAAAATTAAAAAAAAACTTAGGTTTAAATAATTGACAATATTTTTTATGTATAAACAAGTTATATTTGCGTATGTATAAGTGATTGTTCAAATTTACGCAACAACATGTTCATGACAAACAACAAATCATGTAAATGTGAAAACAAATTATAATATATATATATATATATATATTATATTTTGATATATAATTAAAAGTGTTCAATGGTTCAGTGGCAATTTTTTTTAACACCTAAAGGGTCAAGGGATCAAATCATTCCTTAGTCCCCTTTTTCATTTGACCCACTATTGACCACTCATTAGCAGTTGATAATGGAGGTTTGGCCTCTGGTGCGATGATGGTTTGTCCATAGTTACCATCGATGCTGGCAACGGTGAGTCTCTCTCTCTCTCTCTCTCTCTCTCTCACACTATAAAAGTTGAGGGTATTCTTGTAATTGGACCAAAAAAATTAATTGACATCAAGGCCCTTGGGACTTGCAGAATAGTTTATGAATGTTTTAAGCCATGCATGCTATTAATTTGATTTTAAACGCCCTAATTGAGATTCTTCCTAAAATAAAAGGCCTCTTTCTTCTTTAGCTTGTCTATAAATAAGATAAGACAGGCCAGGCTTGTCGACGGTTTGAAAGAGACGTGGTCTCTTCCCATACTTACTAACTATATTAATAAATAATAATTTTTAATAAATAAATATTTTAGAATAAAAAAACTATATATAGTATGCTTATAAAAAAGGATATATATTTACACTTTTATGTCATAATTGATCGCTCTTGTAAGTGTACAAGATCACAATAATAAATTATCTAGAGTATTTCAGGTGTTGAAACTACAGAAAAGTTGTGCTTTTATTAATTTAAATAATTAATAATTCTGAAAAAATAGATAAAATGGATAATTTAATGAAAATATAAATAATAAAAATAAATTAAGAAAATAATGATGATGAAAACACAATCATTTGAAGCGTCAGAGTTTGGGATTCACTTTATAGGTTATTAATTTTATCTTTTGAGTTGACTCTTTAATCAATTATAGTGATAACAATTCATAAAGTGTCATAATATACTCCCAAATTATTAGTCCTTTTTTAATTAGCATTGTTTCATTCCCACAATACCCAAATAACTAATTAAATTGTGAAACTATAGTTTAAGTTACCACAAATTTCTAAAACTATCCATATACTAGTTATTTATGTCTATTTCTCTAGATTTAGGTTCTCTTTTCGCCTCTCAATTCATCAAGATTACTCATAAATTTAATTTAATGGTGGCCAATCATAAAATCAACATAAAGAACAAGAGAAATAAATATAATTAAAAAGGACAAAAATATTCATAAATGTAAACGTGAAGAGTCAAAAAAAAAAGAAGAAAACTAGCTCTCCAGTTAGGCTACATCCCTACCCCAACTGAGTAATTTAGAAACACATAATAAAATCAAATAATATCATTCAAAAATCTCCAATCATAAAAATTGATCACAAGAAAATTAAAAATTAAAAAAAAATAATTATGATTTGTAAAACTCATCAACAATCTTGTTTTTAGCATTCAAAATGCTTATACAGGTTTCAAATATCTAAGAAAGAATTTTTGAGGTTCTTAGATAAGTAATTAGATGCCTTCTTTCTTAATAGAGGGAGTATTTATAGTTAAAATGGATGCTCCTCTTTTTATTCCTAATTGAAGTGGAACTCTAATATATATATATATATATATATATTATTTGCCTCATGATATGAGATATGAAGATATACTCCTTCTATATATATATATATATATATATATATATATATATTTATATATTCTTTTCTTTTATTTTTTTGCATTTTCTTCCTTTTTTTAATATATTATTTTCCTACAAGATATAAAAAAGAAAGACATGAGTAGGTTTTGAATCAAAATTCATTTTCATCTTATAATTAAGTAATGAGAGAAAAATATATAAATATTAATTAAATAGATATGAAATTTTAATAAATATAATCAAATTCAAATCAAAATATATGCCTATTTAATTATAAAATATGCACTTATCAACTTCCCCCACACTTAGGTTATTGCTTATCCTCAAGCAAATACTTTTACATTTAGCCTTATTTCTTATATTAGTAAATCAAATATGGGATTTTTGCTCTTAGCACTAGTAAAAATTAATTGTATAACCAACATACCAAGCTTCAGTGTGAGAGAGAAAACCAATAATTCTACCAGTGCCACCACAGGGAGTGAATTGAGTTTTGATTAAGCATTTATCTGTAGAATGAATTTATCTATATCCTTAGGTATTACTAGTTTCTTTTGTTGAGCTAGTGAAATGGGGTGGGTCATTATTCTTAGCTATTAATGAATTTCCTTTCTTCCTTAGATAATTCTTAAGTTCTTTTGACGCGAACCCTCATATTGGTGACACAAGGGCTCAGTTACCCAGATTGAGGGAACTTTATCGACACACTCTTGACACTTACTA